TGTTTTTCCCTATAGGTTTGGGTTCTCTCCTTATTAAGGATAATTATAAATCAGCATGGTCTAGGACTATCCTACAAAAACTCCAACATCTTGGCTTTTCTAGGGAGGTATTCCTAATGATGAGCTATGAGCGTGTACTCAGTGAATTTAAACACCGTATCAAAGAGCTGGAAGTCCAGCAGGACCAGTTTATTCTACCTAAGAATGTTTTTTTGAGCAGCCAAGCCTTTTTTTATAAGCCAGCGAGATACCTAAATTATATAACTGTCTCAAATTACGGAGGGCATTCACTCTAGCACTCTTCCTACAGCAGTTTTGGAGGGCCGATACAAAAAAGTCCCATATAAGCTGAGACTGTGCCCCTGTGGACAAGAGGCTATTGAAACTATAGCACATGTCCTGCTATACTATATTTTCTATAAGGACTCATGGACCCATTTAATAACTCCTCATCTGGTAAAATATCCAGGAAATTCTGATCTTTTCTATGTGCAGCTGTTGCTATCTGATCAGAATGACTTAGTCTCTCTGAACGTAGCTAAATTTTGTTATACTGTTTGTAAAATTAGGCAGACTTTGCCCATTGATGATCCCACCAATCTGTAAATATATTTTTATGTTTTATTTCATTTTAATGTATTCTTAATGCATTTAATGCATCTTTAATATACTTTTATTTGTAACTCTGGTCTGTGACTGTAATAAAGAAATTTGATTTGATTCTATATTTTAGTTACGCAGTCTCAGTGAGATATCTCTATGTCTTAGACATTAACATTTTACCAATTAGCAAATTCTATGTAAGATCTATCTTCTTAAAATGTACTTGTTCATTATCAAGCCATAATAAACTTACAAATGGATACAGAAAGACAGATTAACACTGATATTACATATTAACATTTCTTCCAGAAAAAAATTGGCTTCACACCAATTTTATCAACAGTAAAATTCCAGCTTTTAGACTTATATGTTCTGTTTGCATATTACTGGCATTCAAAAACAATTATTGGCAACCAAAACCCAATATACTGATTTTGAAAACAGTAATAGTATTGTAAACCGGTTATAAATAAAATGGAGCTAGCATCAGAAAAAAATTTAGAACTGCTGTGATTCTAGAGCAGTGTTTCTCAACCTTGACAACTTTAAGATGTGTGGACTTGAACTCCCAGGATTCCCGAACCAGCATGGTATTAAAATTAGAGAGGCAACCTGAAGGAATGTGCCTTTCTTCAGAGACTGACATTAAGACAGCTTCAGTATGATTGCTTCCTCCAGTCATTGTATTTCAAATACCAGAGTGGCAAAGTTCCACAACGAAGAAGCGTGCAAAGTTTCTGCTACTGTTTTGACCCATTTTTTGTACACTAGCATTGTTTAGTGGGCTCTACCTAGATTGTTAGGCAAAGGATGAAATACCTTCTTAACCATTAAGGATCCTGAATGTGGACATTGATGCATAAAATCTACTTTGTAAGTTGCTTATATGGATACAAAGGGATCATTCAATGTGGTACTTGAAAGAAGAACAAAATATAAAAATAATTGGTAAACATTTCATTAGTGGCTAGCCAGAAAATCCTTTTGTGGAAGATATGTATTAGATATCTGAGATTTTTAAGTCTTTTCTTAGCAAAACTCCTGTCTGAAGGTGCCCTAGAAGATGTGTAAGGCTTTTTCTAGTGTTGAATTATCTCATTCAGTGGCATCCTGAAAGCTCACACCACTTTTATTAGAACAACGAAAACAGCATTGTGGCATCATGCTGAAGCTCCGTCCCTATTGGCCTGCACACAGAAAAGGGCGGGGCTTGCCTTGTGGTACCAGGATGCTGTTTTCATTACTCTGAAACCCTTGCCTACCCTAAGGATCCCATTGCATGATCAAGCTTGGAGACATCCGATGCTAATTTTTAAATGTAGAAGGAATGAATGGATATAACTGAAAAGTGAAGAGAAGGACAGCTTGAATGAAAGCAGAAGGGTACAACTAAACACAAAGGCTTACCTCAGCGATAACTCCCACACATCCAGCAATGACTGCGGCTTTTGCTTGGGCACCACTCATTCCTCCAAGGCCAGATGTGACAAAGACTCTGCCAGACAGATTCTCTACCCCCAAGTATCGACGGCCTGCATTGAGCACTGTTAGCTACAGTGGGAAATATAGGAACTGTAGCACATTTACATTCTCATATAGAGGTTTATGTGTGTAAGAGAGAGAAAGAAACCAAAAGTAGCAACCCAGAGTACTGGGATTAGTACTTAAACAGAGTACTAATCAGGTGGAATCAATCCCCTGTGGCTGGTGAGCATGTACATGGAAAGGTGTTTATTCTATGGATTTGCACAACTTAGTTGCGCATGCACCACAAACAGCCTCAATGGGAATGGAGATATGCAGTTTCTACTGAACTTCACATTCTCTCTATTTGTGTTCTAATCTGCTGTGATGGCATGTGCCGCCCAATTCGGAAGTGCCAGATGTCTTTCTATGCATGGCAAAAATAGACCTGGACCATTTCCACAGGGGAAATTGCTTCATAAATTTTTATGCATTGCTTTGGAAACAATCAGGATACAAATGTCTCAGCTAAAGAAAATGGATTTCAAAGTTCTTACTGGAGGGAAGGCTCCATTGGTGCATCAAAACTCCAGTGCTTACAAGCGCTCATTTTCTAAATACCTGCATCTCTCCATATCAGTGTTTAGCAAAGAAAGGCCACAACTTAGAAGCTAAGCACAGGCTTTGCCAGGAGAAATCTCAGTTTTAGACATTGGCACCTCCAGTTAAAATAATCCCCATTAGCAGCTCATGGGAAAGACTCTATCTAAAACTCTTCCAGCCAGAAAAGATAAAACTAACTTGAATAAATAAACTGAGCTAGCAGAAAGCAGTGCTTCAAGAGAGTATTTTCCAAGTTTCTAAATTAGTTAATCGTTTTTTCTGAATTAATACAGGAGTCACAGTTAACTTTTATATGTAGTCCATTTGAGATCCTCTTCTGACATACACATCCTAAAGTGCAATTTTGCTGTATCTAGACATTGTTTTTTCCCCTGTTAGTGACTTATGGCATCTTTTAGATACCAGAATAATACCAGTAATAAGAACAAGCTTTATATCACAATAATAATGGCTGGATGATGCTATGGAAACTCGGTAAGTCACTAGTGGGGAAATGATCATTGCTTATGAATAAAAGATCTAATAATATCTGAACCAGAGACATGAGACAGAATGGAAAACTTTTCTAATGGAAAACAATTTGGAGAAGGCAAGGAGAAAGTAATAAATACATTGTTCATAACAGGCAGCCTTCTGTACAGCCTTTTGCATTCATTGAATCCAAAATTATTCCTTGAATCTGGAGGCTTCACTACAATGAGAAAATGTGCATTTTGTCCACCCCTTACACACGCACATCAAAGTATATATTTTGTCATTTGTCTCCCTTCACCCATGAGGATACCAGTGGGTTCACAGAAGCCTTTGTGATTTAATTCAGAGGACTGCAGACACTTCAGTGAATAGCTTAAATCAGCCTGAGCCAGCATGCTGTGTAGACAGGAATCATAGGAGTTGTACTCCAAAATATCTGAAAAATACCAGCTTGTGTATCCTCGATCTAATTTATTTAGGGGTACAATGGTCGTTCTCTTATGGCACAGAGTTTCGGAATTACTGCTATATGTATATTACAATAAAACCTCTGAAGCATTATAAAATGGAGTTCTAAGCCCTGACTTAAGTTCTACGTTAAGTTCTAAGCCCTGACCAAAGCAGTAGGACCAGTCTAAATAAATAAATAAGCAAACATACATGCATATATATGTGTATGTGTGTGTGCATAGCCTTTGAGTCAGTGTTGACTCCTGGAGATTGCCTGGACAAGTCCTTGCAGTTTTCTTGGCAAAATTTCAGAAATGGTTTGCCATTGTCTCCTTCCTAGGGCTGAGAGGGAGTGACTAGCCCAAAGTCACCCAGCTGGCTTTCCTATCTAAGGCGGGACTAGAACTCACAGTCTCCCATTTATAGCCTGGGGCCTTAACCACTATATCAAACTGGCTGTCTAGTCTAAATATATTATGACTAAAAAAAAAAAATGAATCGGTGGTCTTATTTTCAAAAAGTATTCTGCCATATTAGCCCAGTTCTTACCACAGTTCCATGGACTATCCCCTGTGGTCCAATGTAGCAATAGCTTCCAGCTGTCATCTGTCCATACCTGTCAAGTAGAATGTAAAAAATGTTATTTTCTCAAACAAGTCTGGGTGGTATTAGGAGAGCAAACAACAACAACTAATGTGCTATTACATTGGTTCATCAGCCTAATGATACAGATTGTCCAGTTAATCATCAATAATTTTTTATTAAACTGGAATGAGATATCAAATGAGATCCTATAAGATTAAGCTTTATGCCCACCAGTCTTCAATATTTTTTTATGAATGGCTTGAATGAAGAGATAAAGAAAATATAAACAATACTGTACTGAATTGGGGGAAATAATTAAAAATGACAAAAGGAAATTCAAAATTATCTTTACGAGTTAAAGAGGGCTGAAAATAATGAAATTTAAGTGACAGATACAAAGTTTTTCACTTAGGAAATAAAATTGATGTAGAGTTATGGTGGATACTTGGCTTGAAGATCTTAAAGAGTTGATCACAAACTGAGTATGAATCAGTTTGTATGAACACTGCAATAGGTCTGACAAAAAGGGAAATGGAATTTTAAGCTGTAATCTTAGAAGCACGGAATCATATTAATTAATTAATTAATTAATATGTTAATTGCACTGTAATCTGCACTGGTCAGACCCAATCTAGAGCACTGTATCCAATTTTAAAGTGGATTCACAGAAACTGGAACAGGGCAGTGAGAATTGAACTAGATACTAAGTCCTATGAAGAAAGACTTAAAGAACTGGTAATGTTTGACCTTGAGAAGAGAAAAGTGAAGGTAGGGAAAATCTAATAGAACTCTTCAAACACCTGAAAATATGTCATCACAGAAAAAGGTCAAGATTTATAATCTATCCTTCCACAATGCAAGAAACAGAACAATTAATTTAAGTACAGGAAAGCAGATCCCAACTGAATGTTAAAAGATAAAACTTAATGGTAAGATAAATTGATTGTAAACCAATCACTCAGAGAGGAGATCAGCTCCCCTTCACTATATTTATTCAAGTGAAGGCTAGACAGATTTCTGCTGAAAATACTCTAATTAGAATATCTGCATTGTGTCCTTCCAACTCTGTGATTTTATGAAATGGGCTAGAAAAAAGAAACTTGGGAAATGGATACTTACATTGTAACTCCTTTTGCAAACATAGACTCATATTCCTCTCTGGAAGAATAGTTAGGGATTACCTAAATAAAGAAAAAAGCAAAATTAGTAGGGATGAGAATTAAGGAAATAGTCTCTGAACCAGGTCTTGTTCAAACATATTCCATCAAAATCCCATTCTTACAATGTGGGAGGCCATATGCTCATCCTTACAAGATAGATTGGATAACTTGATTGAATGAAGTCCTTAAAGCAATAGAATTTTTTTCAGGCTTTCAGAAAAGCTTGAAAAAACTTATGCTGCTTTGAGGGATAGAAGAAAGATATGCACTTACTTAAGGTCCAAAGCACTTATTCTGAATCATTTTCAAAGCATGCCCAACCTTAATAAATATTGATAATGACCAGAAGGATTCTTCAATGGAAACAATCCTTACTAATAGCAAATTGAGGTGGTTGGGTGCTGACATAATCTGAGCCACCATGGAACAGAAGCAAGACCTACAGAATGCCAAATGTGAGCTGGAAAATTAAAGAAGAGGAAAGAGATGGAAGTTAATTGGCTTTATTCCTTGTAATGAGGGGCAGAATCTTTTTTTCAGCCAATGGCTATATTGATCCTTTGATTGGCATGCTGTGAACCACCCTCCAAAAAGTGGGCAAGATCAGGACAAAGAAGTGGGTGGGACCAGAAGAAACCTAAATTATTGCATTTAAATGTAATACATTACATTCAATCTTTTAAATATAGTTAACATACACATATTCTATGTATAATAATCTTCTTATCACTTTAAAGGTTACAGTTTAGTGGCAGTTTGGGGGAAGATTCTGGGAAGAGCACATCCAGCCCTAAGGGTACAGATGTAGCCTTGTCACATGATATCTTTTGTGGTTGGTTGACAGCTGAATAGGAGCTCCCCATTAGAAAATGATGGGGTCCCCATTTGTTAAATGCTTATAAATCATCATAGGATTTTTTAAAAACTGAATCTGCTCATTCTGGATATCCCACCCTTGAAAATCCTGAAGCCTCAATATTCAGCTTGGATGGTGGACCTCCCAGCCTCCCTGAAAATAAGGAGCCATACAAGCTACTAATGAAAAGCCCAATCTGTCCACAAGAGAAGTTGCTTCATGTTTAGTATTAAATAACTATAGAGAACCTACTGAAAAGTCAAAACTAGAATTTTAGCAATGATAAAGAAACAATGAAGAGGAGGTATTGTGGCCTTTATTTACCATCCCATTAGTGATAACTAATCGAGGAGCGTTGCAATGGCTTGGGAAAAGTCCTAAGGGATGTCCACTGTACATGACTAATGTCTGTTCTTCAGTCATCTCAGATAAATAGTGCATCACCAGCCAGAACTAGAGAAAGAAAAGAAGTAGTAGATTAGCTTCTTGTCTTAAAGGGATCCCTGTTCTACAGATTTTTAATGGGTAGCCCAGATAGAATGGTGGGAGACCACTTTATGAGAATTCCTCAAAAGTGGCGAGGCTGATTAAAAATGTATTATCAAGTGGGAATAGATGATGAGCTCCTCATCTAATATTTTCACACAGAAACTGTTTCTTCCCCATTATTTTTATTCCTAGTGGGGATTAAAACGTAACATTTATTTCTACTAGCAGGAAAAGACTGCTAAACAGAAGCCGGGGGGCAGATGGACTAGTTAATTGGTTATAGTTTCAAATATTGTTCTTCTAAGGTAGCTCCATTCAAAGTATAATTCAATATTTGAAACTGTAAAATCAATCAACTTTTCATTCAAGGCATTACAATTATTCAGGCAACATATAATCCCAAGGATAATTTCAGTTTCTGGATTTCCTGTCCAATCTTATTTTTACTGGCCCATTGATTTCAACGAACCCAAAACAAAACAGAACCCAGAAAAAATACAGTGACAGGGGATAAGAGCAGGAGAAGATGGGGCAGATGGGAAGGGGAGTGGAAAACAGATTCCAAGGATTCTGTTTCCCAGGTGCTGTGAACAATTTAGCTTTCCTTTCACCTTCCCATTCTGCATTTTTATGGTTTTTCCTCTTATCAAAGGACTCTGGCATGAGTACCTTCTATTACAAAAAGTTTACATTAACAGAAGCCTGGATTTGTACCAGGAGCTCTAAAGAGTCCTTTTTTCATTGGTTGGTTGGATTGATTCTTTGTACACATTTCCTGCAAAAAAAAAAAAAAAAAAAGTCTCTTTGCCCTTTTCCCAGATACCATTTCTTTTTGGAAGGAAGTTGTCATTAGTCCTAATGGCAATCTTGTTCCTAGTTCTAGTCCCACATCCCAGTCTGATATTTGTTGTTTCCAAAATCATCAGTGTATGTTATAGTCATTAATAGTGTCATCCAGCCATTCTTAATTGAATGTCTTCCAAATGCCTTGGACTTCAGCTCTTGAGATTCCAAGCCATTCAGCAGTAAAACTCACTGGACCATTTTGGGCCAGTTGCTATCACTCAGCCTAACCTACCTCAGTAGGTTGTTGTAAGGATTAATGGGACGAAGGGGAGGTATATTAATCTGAGCTCCTGGGAGAAGAGCAAGATACAAACATAATAAATAAATAATGAGAAAATGTGGTTCAGGCATTTGTAAAAAGTGTATTCCAGGACAAACACTAACAGGCGTTTTTGTAACTCATTAAGAAGAAAGAAAGGGACAGCACTGATAACATGCACCAGGAACAACATTTTGAGGTGCAGTTTTGCTACAATCATGCATCTTTAAAAACAGTCTCTTTTTCACAACACCAAGTACTGAGAACAAGCTGACACTATCGCATTGAAATAAAATCATTCATCCGATGGCTGTTCTTAAGTAACCAGAACGACAAAGAAGCATTGTTTGCTCTGCTGTGAAACTTTTTTGAGGTATCACACTCCTATCAAAGTGGGAGCAAAAGGACAGATAGAACGTGTCCATAGATTGTGCTGTCTCGATTGCAATGTGCAACTCAAGATGCATGCCCTGAAGCACACCAAGGCACTCTAGATACAAAATCATGTTCATCATATATTTTTAGGAAGCATAGTTGCTATTTTGAGAACAAAAACTGAGAAGGCTCCACTCTGCCTGGGAATCCGAGGATCCTAATTTTCAAAAAACAAGTCAACAGAACTGGCCAGTCAGGCTCCCTTCTGTGCACAGGGGCTTGCTGCACGTCCCTCAATCTCTTTGTTGAGAAAATGTTACAGCAGTGCATGAAGATAGCAGTGGACTGGCTTGGTCTATGTCAGTGTTGTCCAAACTTGGCCACTTTAAGATGAGTGGACTTCAACTCCCAGAATTCCCCAGCCAGCCATGAAAGTGGCTCATCTTAAAGTGGCCAAGTTTGGACAACACTGATCTATGTGGTTAATAGGTCCTCCTGCACATTGCTGTCTAAGTCAGGGTAGGTCTGGGTGCATTCTCCTTTGAGAACTGTTCCCAGGTACTGGTCCATAGAAGCACAGGATTGTGCTGGCTCTCAAGGGCCTTATACTCTATACACTACACAGTTATAGTCAGCTGCTCATCAAACTTTGCCTAAACAGAATGAGAATCATTTTTCAAACCATTTGTCACTGAAAATGTATTTACAGCATCATACCTGCGCCCAGTTGCTGAACACTTGTCCATTTCCTCCATAAGTTACAAGTTCCTGGGGAAACTGCAAAAGGTACATTTTAAATACACACAAGATTTCAAAACAATACATTTATAGTGATATTAAGATCTCTTATCACTGTCTCCAGAACAAGATCTTCATCTTGAGGACATCTGTTTAATATCCTTAATATCATCATAAAAGTGAAATAAAAGTGATGCATTTTTATTTGCCAACACATGATATATGATTTCTCTTTGCGAAAAATGAATTTTTCCTCCCTTTTTACTTGTTTAAATAACTGTGAATGAATGCAATTCAAGGGAAAATAATTCTGTTAGGCAACACTGAATGAAAAGATGGGAATGAGAAGAGAGAATACAGAAAAAGTGACTGGACCATCTAGAGACCCAGTAATGAATTAGAATGGTGACTGGTGAATACAGTACCTGCCAAGAAAAAGACTTGTTTGTTTTGAATATGCAGTCAAACCGTACATCTATTCTTATATAGATATGCAGAAGAATTCCAAAAACGTGATTTAATTGACTGTATAATGAAAGACTGAGAGAATCAGAGACAGAGAAACAAGGATGATCAGAGGTTATGAATATGGGGCAGATAATTTTTTGGTAGTGCCAAGAATAGAACTTGGGAAAACAGACATGGAAAAAAAATAAAGAAGTGAAAAACAACTGCAGAAAAAGAAAGTACATATCTTGTATGAAATAGAATAAGAAGCTAGTTTAATTTACCAACAGAATAACTGGAAAGTGAACATAAGGAAAGAAGATGTGGATGCTGAGTAAAACAGAGTGAAAACAATTATATTACCAGAAGCCACAGAAACATTAGAAGTATGAAAAAGGATGTTTAGTGGAATGAAGACATAAAAGTGGTTATGAATGTGGAAAAATGCATATAAAAATGATTGTTGCAAAAAACATAATAAAAGGTATTTTATCATATGTAGACCCAAAAAGTTGCAAAGAATGTAGCCAAAGCGAGCAAAGAATGGTTAAGATTAAATGAGGTAGGGAAAATACAGAGCAATTTTGGTGGAAATAAAAATGTGTGTGTAGTATATTGATTTAGAGAAAGTGCACAATAAAAGCTTGGTTAGGGTTTCTGAATGTGATAAGAGAAATATATGAAGGAAGTAAAGCATGTGTGAGAATAAATGGTATGCTTAGTAAATGGTTCAACTCTGAACAAGGAGTAAGACAAGGAAGTGTGATGTTCCCTTGGTTGTTTAATGTATAATAAATGTATGAGAACGTATCAGAAGTGTATAAGAAACTTTTGTGATGGTGATAGAGATGTATTGACTTGGGACATGAACATATATGTACTTTGTATGCAGATGATGCTGTGTTTGAGTCTGAGAAGATAAATGATTTGCAGTGAATGTTAGATGCAACAAGGAATATAGATCTGAAAATTATTCTATCAAAGACCAAGACAGATATATTTAGTAGGGAAAATGGAGTGAATGGTTGCAAGTTATATATAAAAGCTAGAGCAAGTTGATAAATTTGTGTACTTTGATAGAATGTTTACTAAAGATGGGGAAACAGATGGATAACTTTTAAGACATGCAAATGGTAGCAGGTAATATGTAGTTGTTGTGAGGAATGGAAGCTTTTCAAAAGAAGTATTTCTACCCACTGTCTCTCTGGAAATGAGAGCTGGGTAAGTCAAGAGAAAATAAAAATAAGTTGGATGCAATGGGAATGGCATACTTAAGAAACATATGTGTAAAAAGATATAGGGTCAAGAATGAATGGGTAATGAATCAATGTTGATTGAACACAAAAGTGAGTCACCAGTACAAAAATTGTACAGTGAGGCTGATTATCATATAAAGACAACAAACAAGGATTGAATTATAAAGCAAATATATAAGGGAAAAGTGAATGGGTTGAGAGGAGGAGGAAGACCATGGAAGTCATACGTATGGAGTTGATGAGATTCTCAGAAACAGAGAAGTGAGAAGTTTAAAGAATAAAAGGCAAGATATGATGTGGAGTATTTATTTATTCATTCATTCATTCATTCATTCATTCATTCATTCATTCATTCAATTTGTATGGCCACCTATCTCACCAAGTGACTCTGGGCGGTGACAAAAATTTAAAAAACAAAAACAATTACAATAATACAAAAATTAAAACACA